TTTTTTTGAGATGGAGTCTTGCTCTGTTGCCCAGGCTGGAGTTCAGTAGTGCGATCTTGGCTCACCTCAACCTCTGCCTTCTGGGTTCAAGTGATTCTCCGGCATGAGCCTCCTGAGTAGCCAGGATTACAGGCCCCATTACGATGCCCAGCATTTTTTTTAATTTTTTATTTTTAGTAGAGACGGGGTTTCACCATGTTGGCCATGGTCTCAAACTCCTGACCTTAGGTGATCTGCCCACCTTGGCCTCCCAAAATGCTGAGATTACAGGCATGAGCCACCGTGCATAGCCCTCTACCCCTATTTGTTAACTCAAATTTAAACTTCCATACTTGATGGCCTTGTCACAACGTAACAGTAACTTTTGGGAAACGTTAAAAAAATTCTCCCCTCCTAACCAAAAAAGAAAAGGTAGGCATCCAACACTGAGCAGCGTTTGGACGTGAGGTCTCAAATAAAACTTTCTAGATGTGACTGTTTTCTCTTAAGGCATTTGTGAGTCACATTGAGGGTGAGGACTCCTTGGAGGCATGCGATATGAACTCCTGCCTGCCTTGCGAGAGTGCACTGAAAAAACGCCGAGCATCTAGGTGACCCACGTTTGTCACTGGAGCACCGTCTTTTTCCCTTTGGACATAACACCGTGAGGTTCTCAGGGCCTTAGGGACACGGATCAGACAGTTGAGTCTCCTATTCACTGTTCCTAGTGTGTAATGGTTCTTGATTTCCTGAATTGCATGCTCTGTTTCTCACTTTCCACATATTTGTATATATTAATATATATATATAATATATATAAATATATATTTTTATATATTAACATATATAATATATATATTATATATATAAATATGTACATTATACACACACACATTTATTTATCTCCAAAATTACTTAACATTTGTTGGTGCTTTTTTTTTTTTTTTTTTGAAAATCTCACTGTCATTACTTTTTAGTCTATTGTAGAATAGTGAAGCTCAGGAAAATTAGCTTGTTTTCTTTTCTGTAAGATGATTTAGGGTAAGACCCTGTGAGCATGGGTCTGTCCTGTCCAGAAAGTTCATGGATCTTCGGAGCTACTCAGGGGACACATGGCCTCTTTTCTGGCTTCTTCGCCGATTCTCGTTTTAGTTGTGTTTCAATGCCTGAGTCTGTGGGAAGGTGCCCTCCACGTCTGTGATGCATCTCAGAGCCCCACACTGAGTGTTTAGCTCAGAGCCCAGGTGAAGCCAGCCTTACCTTTTTGTAGAGACTCCTCAGATCTCGGTACTGCCACATGCTGTTGAGGACCTGAGATGCGGCCTTGACCACTTTTGGAGAGTGTCTGATGAAGGAAAGACAGGAAAGACAATACTGAGTGGGACAGCTGTGTCACAGTTCTGTAGTTCTTGTAATATTTCAAACATCTTCATTATTATTCTATCTACGATAGTGATCTGTCATCAGTGCTCCTTGATGTTACTTCTCTAACTGTTTGGAAGCACCACGAACTGCGTTCATGTAAGACAGCAACCGTAATCAATACATGCTGTGTGTTCTGACTGCTCCACTGACTGGCGATTCCTCCTCTCTCTCTCCTCAGGCCTCCCTCTTCTCTTCCGTGAGATAAAATAATGGTGAAATTAGGCCAATTAATAACTCTACAATGGCCCCCAAGTGTTCAAGTGAAAGAAAGGGTTGCACGTCTCTCACTTTAAATCAAAAGCTAGAAACGATTAAGCTTAGTGAGGAAGGCATGCCAGAAGCCACGCAGGCCAAAAGCTCAGCCTGTTGTGCCAGTGAGTCAAGTTGTGAATGCAAAGGAAAAGTTCTTGAAGAAAATTAAAAGTGTTGCCCCAGTGAACACATGAATAATAAGCGAGCAAAACAGGCTTCTTGTTGATACAGAGAAAGTTTGAGTGGTTTGGATAAAAGATCAAACCAGTCACAATTCTCCCTTCAGCTAAAACCTAATCCAGAGCAAGGCCCTAAGTCTCTTAATTTTATGAAGGCTTGAAGAGGTAAAAAAAAAAAAAAAAAAAAAATGCTACAGGAGAAAAGTTCAAAGCTAGCAGAAGTTGGTTCATGACTTTTAAGGAAAGACAATATTTCTATAACATAAACTAAACAAGTTGTGCGATTTGCTTTATTGAGATATTCGCTTTGTTGCAGTAGTGTGAAACCAAACAGACACTATCTCTAAGGTATACCTGTCATTCCTTTGACTTAAAGACAGGGAATTTTAGATCTTTCCATGAATCCAGATGAAGCTACATTTCATTCTCATATAATCAATGCTGAACCAAGATTTAATGTGATATTTTGTTGTATTTTATCATGTAGCTAAATATTTGTTCATAACAATGGTCAAGCAACTCTAGAAAAATACATTTTAACATTCAGGTAGTGATAGTGTAGTTGAAACATAATTAGGATGCATAAATTCCTCTGATATGGTCTAGTCTTTTGTTTCTAGCTCTTGCGTAGTTACAAACCAGAAAGAGACTGCAAATGTGTAATGAACAGCTGGTTTTAACCTCTCGATTAAAATGCCAGTACATCACGGTGTTATACTAACATGTGAAGGTCAAAGAAACTTGGCTTTCTCTTTAGACTTTAATTTTGATGCATTCACTAGATGGGTACCATAGAAATTTCTACCTGAAAAACTCTTCTAAGTATTGACTGAAGGACTTGGACAATTGAGTGTTTCTAATGTGACATGTGATTATAACCCAAGCAACAATACGCAGTTCTTTACTGACAATAACAGTTGAGTCTGTTAATAGCTTTTCCGTCTTATGACAAAATACAGTGACACATTCAACACAACTTCCTATATAACTGTTAAAATTGAGAAGAAAACAAATGTATTCTTGAGACAGGTGAACATGACAGAATGTCCATAATGGATGTTTGAAATGATGTGAAAAGAGTAAGTTTTCAAGATTTCAAAATGGCGAGTATAAGACTTCTATAAGAATTAATAACAACTACACAATTGGAGTCTGATCTTCATCAGAGCTGTCAAGTCAGGGGTGGTGAAGACGTCAGCTGGTGCAGTTCACTGTGGCTGTCAACACAGCTGTGCCAGTGGCGGGGTCCCAGAACACCAGCTCCCATGGTTGTGTCCGCCAGACACCGTGAGTTGTGCAGTTATGGCAGACTGGGACTGGCAACTCGCCAATCTGACTCATTAACATCGCTGCATATTTAAGCTTGTATATATATATATATATATATATATATATATATATATATAAAGAAAATGTATAAATACATAAAATGGAGAATCATAGCAAGGCATGTTTCTTCCCTCTGTGTGTTCCCATACTATCACAAATAAAAATCAGTTTTAAACTGAACTTATTTCTGGGAATAAGTTTTTAAGGAAAATTTAGGGTGGGCAGATATGCAATCATTTTATGAATGAACTACTGTGTATTTGTTTTCCTGCTGTTCCCAATTATTAAATTAACCGCAATTCCAAAAATTTGATTTTCAATAAATTCTATTTCCTTAAAATTTGTCTGGAAGTCCATGGGAATTTCCATGCCTACTATCATAACAGAATTGAGTCAGAAATGGTGAGTTTCATGCTCAGATTTGGAGCAATTCTTCTGGATTCATTTTGTTTTAGGGAGCAGTGAAAAGCAATAATAAAATTGAAGTGTAGGTAGGAGATGAGGATAAATGTAGTTATAAAAACCTTGTTTTGATCCCCACATTAGTCAGTATATAAGAAAAATGAGATAAACTACATGAAACAGTGAATGAGACCGACTAATCGAGAGAATTGTAACCAGGAAGGTGCTTGATTCAATCCAATTTAACACTTCTTATTAAACTCATAAATCCAGGCTGCTGCCACTGGAAAAAGAGATAAAGGAACAATGAGATGAAATGAGTGCCTATTCTATAGAAAAAATTTCAGCCAAATTCAAGGGCATTTATGAGATCATCTGTAGTGAAAAAAATCTTCCCATTAACAATAATCAAGATTGGCCCTGGCTTATCAGGACCTTAGCAACATGGATATGTATTATTTCATAGATGGTTTCCTCAAGTGATTTTCAAATTAGTTTCACCAAATAATTTTCTTTGACTATAGGGCTCAATAAAACATTTTTCCCCCTCTTTCAGGCCCATTTAGTGATGCTTATTGCCGTAGGGCTGCTCATACAGTGAGAGAGAATTAATGCACGCCAAACCACTCCTCAAAGCTCTCTAACTGTATAATTCAGAGAAAATACTTTAATCTTTGAATGTCTCATGAATATAGACAAAAATATATCAGACTGTTTTGCGGACTGTGGTTTCATTGTGTGTGTGGGTGTGTACGCTCAAAAAAGCATTACCATATTAAACTCTTAATGCTCAAAACAGGTAAGCACTTCAATTAGAGGTTTCAAAGGTCTACTGAAGCTAAATAAGAAGAAAACCACATCGTTTCCTGCCTATGTAGTATGGTACTGTATTGTAAGTACAATAGCGTAAGATATAATTCAAGCCAACAATCTACACTGCGCAATTATTGTATGAGTCCAGTGGGGCTTCTCTACTTGATATAAGAAAACATTCAAATCCAAATGCAAAATAGTTGATCGAGCCTATCTGGAGGTTTCCAAGTGCTTAAACAGAAATTCTGAATCTTCCATAATACGTTGGCAATATCCTGAATCAAGTGACATAATGAGACAGAATTTCCGGAAAGTCTGAAAGTGCATCCCTCAAAGTGTTTAATAACAAAAGAAAAATTATTTAGCATTTAGATGTGAAAGGATGGGGGAGGGGTGGCTTGGCAGGGAATGAAAAGTCAAGAAATAGATTCTTGATAACAAAATGTTTACCCTTTTAATCTTATTTGATTACACGGAAGAACTTCCAAGAGGCAAAATTTAATTAAGGTTAGTGAAGGTTTCTGTAAAATTGACACCTTACTGACATACTGATGTGCTGCCTTGTGAAGCTGTTTTCTGGCTGTATATAGTAAGATACTGTTGGTTCTTAAAAACTGGGGTGGGGGGGCATTCCTATTCAAGGAGGTGCAGTTGCTTTGACACCAAGTCTCATCTTTTTTTGTTCTACCTGCATGAAGGCTCTCCTTTCTCACCACTATCCCCTTTGCCTGGGAAATTTCTACTCATTCTATAAGATTTGACCAGCTAGAATATTGTGATAGCCTCTCCATTGGGTTTAGATCGGAAAGTATAGGCATAGTGACTTGTTAAATTAAATATCTGCCCCACATCTCAGAGCTTGTAAGGGAGGGTACTAGCTTAGAGCTGAGTTCTCTGACTCCATCACACCTCGTCTCCTCCCTCATCCTTCCTGCATGTGACTTGCTATGACTTGGTGGCTGCTGTGATGTTGGTAAAGTGGACCTGACCTGGTTGCAGAGCTAAAGAGGCAAAGAGCAGAAGGATACAGAGACATTGTCAACACGTGGACCTCCTACCACAGAGGAACAGCAACGACAAAACACTTCCACGTATCTGGGTTGAATTCATGTCTCTTCCAGGTGGAAGGAGCACCTGGGTGTGCTGGTTTGTCAAGTCCACTTTACCAACAGTAAGAGGGAAGACTGGGGATTGCTGGGTCAAATGGTAGAACACATGGACACAGGGAGGGGAGCATCACACACCGGGGCATGTCGGGGGATTGGGGACTTGGGGAGGCATAGAGGTGTGGGGGATTGGGGAGGGCTAACATTAGGAGAAATACGTAATGTAGATGATGGGGGGATGGATGCAGCAAACCACCATGGCACGAGTATACCTATGTAACAAACCTGCACGTTCTGTGAATGTACCCCAGAACTTAAAGTATAAAAAAAAATCCAAAATAAAAAAAAGAGAGAGAGAAGACTGGAAACCATTTGCCATTTTCCTTCTCTTGATTCTCAGAGACAAATACTTTCGGTGACAATCATAGTTAAAAGGCACATTCAGAACCAATTTTACCAGGACAGAGATATGATGTCACCAGGTAACTTACTTATCTCCTTTGCTTTTGGAGATGCTGACCAACTTCTCGATGCCACCGGCATCCCGTAAGGCCTTGGCGTTCTCCATGTTCTTGGTAATCACTTCGTGCAGGGTGCAGCAGACGGCTGTCACTGTGTCATCCGACATGGCCTTGCTTGCCGTGCTGTTGCTGTTGTTCCCACCTGGAAGTCTGTGGACTAGGTCTCGCATGGCATATTTGCCTGGAAAAGAAAATAAAGGGAAGACTTGAAAGGAGGTCAAGGTGAAGGCAGAAGGTAGTGGCAGAGGTGGGTATGGGGGAGAAGAGACTACAAGAGGCCCCGTTTATGCAATATTGTTTGTTTCCCACCACTGAACGTTCTCTATTGGGTAACTTTGGACACAGCTATAGAGAAAAAGCAGTCATTCCTCATGGCGGTGCGTGCACTCTGTTGCTAGACTGACCTGGGATCAAAGCACGTTATTTCATGGGCAAGTTATTTCATGCCTCTTACGCCTCAGTTTTTTCAGTCTCTAAAGCAAGACAATAACGGTACCGACCATACAAGGTTGCTGTAAAGCATAAATGAGTGAATGTATGGAAAGTATTTAACACACAGGGATGAACAAGGACACAGGACTCAATAGGTGTTAGGTATGGTTATGTTCTTGCTTGATATTTATAGAAGTCAAGAAAAATGTATGGAAATTCTAACATAACCCTCAAAAATACCTTAATGAAAGCTATGTCAGGACCTGTATTTTTTAACAAGAGTCAAAGCGCTAATGTGTGGGGAACATGATCACATATATGAGTCCTGAGTTTTGAGTCCTTTAAAGCAAAGAGAAACATGGAAAGCAGGAGAGAGGCACTTGACAGTCTGTGACTATGTGTCCTTTGACCTACAGTAACCTGATGCTGTTTGTCTCTCTGATGGTACTTTACTGTGTAGTTCTACCATGTAACACTAATTTGGTGTGTTTTTGTGCGAAAAACATAATAAAATCCAATTCTGCTTCCTTAATTCACTTTAGCATTGTTAATCTGACTATTCCCAATGATAAAGGTACTTATAATGACATATTTATGGAGTACTTTTAGTTTACAAAGCACTTTAGGCATTACCAGTAACGCTGCAAGACAATTAATTTATCCCACCTGCAGCTTCCATTTCTGCTCCTTTAATTTACTTCTGGAAGTAAGTGAGTGCGTGCCTGTAGCAAAGCTGGCTGTTCTCACATTTTTCAGATGGAATTGAGGCAAGTGCCTCAAGTTAGATCCCTTTCTTGTCTCCCATCCCCCAATGAGGCATATTTAGCTAGCTCCTAAAAGCTATATGAAATATTTCACCTCCATCTAGATCTATAAATAATATCTTCTTCTGCTATTGAATTCTCAGGTGCATGGTGCCTGGCAGCAGGAAGGGAACCTTGTGGGAACAGGCAGTGGTATCTTGATTTCAGGCAGTGATACATAAAACACAGGCCCTTGTAATTTTGGTATCTGCTCTTATCCTATGTTTAGGTGGCTTATTTTAGCTTAGAGAGAAAATGCTGATGCTTAAATTACTGAAATAGAAAAGTGTGTTCATTCACTTGATGATAGCTGAGGAAGTGTCTGACAAAAATGGTTTGCCTGCAAACCCCCAAAATGGAGCATATTTAATTTCTAATGACAGCACCTAAAATAGTTTATCTATTTATCATTCAATCAGGCTTAACTCTGGTTAAGAGTTAACTTTTGTAGAGCTCAGCATGCTGGAGATGCTATCAGTTCATTAACCCCCACAAATCATTAGCAGACAAATTTGAGCTCCATAGACATGAGATGACCAGTGTGTTCCTTTTTACTTTTCCTTATAAGGAAAGCGATGAAGGAAGGGCAAAATAACTGAAAAAATATTTCAGCCCTTGTATATACAGGGACATTTACACCCTTGACGGTATATGGAGAACGGTTTGGTGAGCTTGGACACTGTCAAGGGGAAAACCCAAAATGAAGAGAGGGTGAGAATTCAGCTGTTGTATGTTTTAGGTTTCTTGGTATAATCATTTTGAAAATTACATCATCTAAATATGAAGATGTAGTTTCATCCTCCACCGCTTCCCAATCCTTGAGTCCTGATTAAGAGGCAGGTGTCCCTGGCATGTTAGCTTATTTATAGATAATAAGTAGATGGCAGGTACCCAACCCCTGCAGAGCAGCCTCTTCCACTCACCCCAGTGTGCCATACAAGTACTATCATTTTCCATGTGCCCTATGATATGGAAAAGATCAGGAGTCACTATCATATTTAACGTCTCACAACTTTACTGTTGAGGAAACTCATTGGAATTATTTTATTTCTAATATTTCCAATATAGGTCACTGACATTTTACTAGGCAAATGGAGATTTTTCATTAAGTCTATCAGTCTATCTGGAGGTATATATTTTAGTCTGTATTTTTGACCATCCAAGTAAAGAAACAAATCCGGTAATATTATTCCATGGAGAAAAAAACCTCTGGGCAAACTTTGTTAATTATTTTAAAAGGTTACAATTCTTTTTTAGCCTTTAATTTTGTGTTGAAAATGCTGTCTTTTTACAGTGAAATTTAAATCCTATCTTCACAGAAAATTTGGGTGCAAGAAAAGATTTTTAGCTCTTTCTAATGTCAGAAACTTTGAAGGTGATTACGGAAATAATAAAATATGGGATATAGAATAATTACAGATGCAAGTGACCTTGTCTTGTGTGTTTATAACAGTAGTTCATGGGCCGGGCGCGGTGGCTCACGCCTGTAATCCCAGCACTTTGGGAGGCCGAGGCGGGCGGATCACGAGGTCAAGAGATCGAGACAATCCTGGTCAACGTGGTGAAACCCCATCTCTACTAAAAATACAAAAAATTAGCTGGGCATGGTGGCACGTGCCTGTAATCCGAGCTACTCAGGAGGCTGAGGCAGGAGAATTGCCTGAACCCGGGAGGCGGAGGTTGCAGTGAGCCGAGATCGTGCCATTGCACTCCAGCCTGGGTAACAAGAGCGAAACTCCGTCTCAAAAAAAAAAAAAAAATAACAGTAGTTCATGGAAGAGACAAATTAGACAGGACTGGAGTTGTTATGGAAGGCTTGATTCAGGAGGTGGACATTTAGGATTTTTTTGTATGTTAAACGGGCAATAAGATCAACTTGATGCTTTACAAAGAGGATTCTGGTGCATTAAGAAGGAAGGTTTCAGAATAGTAAAACTGAAGGTGGAAGAAACATATAGCCTTTCTCTTAACAATAAAGTTCTCTTCCTCGAGACTTCTAGTGAAATTTTAAGCACTACAACTCAAGGTAGTGTGTTACTGTAACTGTTCCATATCCTGTGTTTTCTTTTTAACCTAAGTTTCTAAACAGTTGAAAGAGCTGAAAAGCTATTCTTGCTACCCAGTAGGAGGAATCTTGACTCTTCTCCTCTACTGTTCAGTTAGACATTTGGGTCTTTGAGGTCTGAGATTTCTTCAGAGGGTAAAAGAAGTTAATTCCCTTTTTTGTATCACAATGGCAACAGGAAACTGCAAAATGGGTGGGTTAAACTTTTATTTTTACAGCTTGACACCATCAAGGTGATCAAATTGTTTTCTTTTCTTTTTAGAGAGAGAAATGGATGAAGATGGGGTTGTTTTAGGACTGGGGAAGAAAGAATGTCCCTGTATATACAATGGCTGGAGAGGTGGGGTTGTTTTAGGACTAGGGAAGAAAGAGGCTGGTTCACCACGTGGAGGTTGTTGGAGGTTCTGCACAGTCCCAGGAACATAAAGGGTAATTGGAGCCCAGCAGTGGCCCTGTGATGCATTAGGATTCTCTGTGGGTGCAGAGGAGAATAAAACAGCATAGGCTTCACCCTGTGCCTGAACCTGGCATGGGAGAGAGGAGGTGCCTGTCTTGGAATGACCTGCTTAGGCCCTCAAAAGGGGCAGACACCACTAGTAACCACTGCAGATAGATGACCACTCCACCTGACTACACCACCTTCTTCTTCTTCTATTTTTTTTAAGACAGAGTCTCACTCTGTTGCCCAGACTGGAGTGCAGTAGCATGATCTCAGCTCACTGCAACCTCTGCCTCCAGGATTTAAGTGATTCTCCTGCCTCAGCCTCCCAAGTAGGTATGACTACAGGCATACACCACCACACCTGGCTAACTTTTGAATTTTAGTAGAGGTGGGGTTTCGCCATATTGGCTAGGCTGGTCTCAAATTCCTGCCACAAGTGATCTGCCCACCTTGGCCTCCCAAAGTGCTGAGATTACAGGCGTGAGCCACCACACATAGCTGACTCCACCTTCTTCTAGATTTAATTTGGTTCAAAAATAAGTAAAAGGTATGACACAGACTGAAAATAATAGAGTGAGTCATTCATTTGGCAGGAAGCTATAATATTTCAGGAACAAACAAGGACCAGTGACTACAGAAAGGAGATCATGGGAGGATCAAGAGCAGGAGAGCAGCCGTGATGGAAATTCTTAAGAAGCAACTGACAGGGCTTGAAGCCCTGGGAAATGTGGAGGTAATGGAGGGACATGATTCAGAGGTGTCACACTGGAGTAACACAGAGAGTAGTAAAAACCAAATGAGTCTTAAAGCTTAATATTAATGAATAAGTTGGGCATTATTTTCCGCACAAAGAAAAACATGCAAAATAAGTTATATTGCTTACATGAGAGGATCGCATACCAAAATCCCATCAGAGAGACAAGTAGGTCATCAGGTTCAAAGAATAACTAGATTTATGAAGGCAAAATGGATATCTTGCCTTGCTTCTATTTGAATAAATGTGCTACCAATGATCCACCATCACGGAATGACATGTGAAAAAGGGAAATCATGGTGCTCGCTTCGGCAGCACATATACTAAAACTGGAATGATACAGAGAAAGATTAGCATGGCCCCTGTGCAAAGGTAACCCGTAAATTTGTGACATGTTCCATATTTTATTTTTTAAAAGAGAAAAGCTTGTTGCCCAGATCAAAACGATACAAAACAAGACTCTACCACTGCCACTGCCACAAACAGTCACTCTTTCTTGCTAAAGTTCCCAACAGAAATGAATCCTTGGGCCATTAAATTACTTAGTCTCTACAACATCTCTGACTTTTGCAATACTGATAAGAGACAACCATCGGTGATAATATAATAGTGTGGAAAAAAGACTATTCTCATCATCGATGGACTAACTGCAACCTCGTAGCTCTTCTATCATTTCCACTGCGTG